TATATATATATACTCTCTCTCCTTCCATACACATGTATCTATCTCTCTATCTCTCTCACTCTGTCTTTCTCTCTCTCTCTCTCTCTTTCTCTCTCCCACATACGCACACACAAACACATCCACCCACACACACATACACACACACACACACACACACACACACACACACATCCATACACACACGCACGCACCTTAGTTACCTTGAACGGATCACCTGGCAACCAGCCTAGGAAGGGCAAGTAATGAAGGACAGAATCAGAACCCAGGCTTGAGAACACCTCTTTCAGACTATGGAGAGAAAGATACGTTTGGGGTAATGCAGTGTAGTAACCATAGTATTAGAATAATAACATGGCCAATTTCATTTTTTTCCGAAGGTTGATAAAAAAAGAACCATTTTTTTGTGTACATGTCTGGCCTGAAAATTCTAACATTGTTATAACGAATCCGAAGCACAGATGAAAACAATATGAAAGTTAACTATAATTATGAACAGATGATAACTTACTTGAAAAAATAAGTAATTAAAGAAATACTATAATCTTCCAGAAAAGGGAGCACAAATTGATTAACATATTATTCTACCCGTTTGTGACTTAAAATTGAGAAGAGAAAGAAGTTTATTTTTCGCCCATTAGTCCCAATTACACTACAATGGGGCAATAACAATATGTGCTCAGCTCCATTCTCGAAGACTTCATAGGATAATATTTTTGTTTCCTTTCATAAAATACCATTTGAAGAGAAGTCAAAACTTAAGAAATGTGTACATAATGATAGTGATAATGATGATGATATAATAATTAGAATAACAATGACAAAGATCATGATAATGAAAATGATAATGATAATGAAACAAGATTTAATTACCCTTTTCCTTTCAAAGAAGAGCATATAAACACAATAACTGTCTCTTTGTGAAGGAAAAAGTAAGACAGACAGTTTGAAAAAAAAATAGTGGAAAAGAAAAGCCGTGGAACCTACCAGCTGTGTCCTCTATCCACCCAACGATCATTACTTTTTAAAATTGTATTTAACCAATTAAACCACCGACCTTTTAGCAAAAATACTAAACTCGGGGTCATCCTTCTCGAACCGTTTGCCAAAACACACGTTAAAGACGACGTTGGACGCAGTGACCAACATGATGTCATGGGGATCAAAAGACTTTCCGTTCAGGTCCAAGAGGGTGCTGGTCAACTGAATCATCTCCGGACCGATCTTGGTCTCCATGGCTTCGCTGCCCATTCCAAGGTCATGCAGAGCTGTTATGACGAAGTTTCTCTGCTGTTTCCAAGCCTCGCCGCTTGTGTTCATAATACCTGCAGAAGTAAGTACACCATTTTGTTAGTCCACTGTTAAAGTAAGTAGAGTACAACGTGTTAGGCTTGTTGAAGTAGCTTTATTGAAACAAGTACATTGTGTTTGGTTTCCTGAAGCAAGTACAATATGTTAGGTTTACTGACTTAATTAAGAGATGAGCAACATTCTGAACATGTATTATATTTTTGTTTGAATATGAATTTCATTATGGATACCCTTTGAGACGCTAACATCAAACTGTTAATGATTGTGCCCAGTTGAAGATGCCGTCTTTGAGTGAGGCAGAGATTTAGTACCAATACACTATAACTTTTTGTTTAGTGAAATTGCATGGTACAGACCCTAGATAAAGTGGAAACAGAAAATATAGTGTTTGAAAAAGAAACTTCAGTGTCATGTTAAACAGGCAACTAACGACACAACACCTGCCGACTTGTAGGTAATGATTAATTGCAAGTATTTTAAACTACCTATGAAACGATTTAGATTTGAAGATATAACACGCGCTGAATAGAATGCACAATTGTTTCCAGTAGACAGACGAAGACAATTAGAAGAATAACTGTAGCGTCAGGGAATCAAACTGATGACGGTCTTCTTCTGCATGCAACGGCAAAGAGACTAATATGTACACCACAGACACAATCTTCGTTTTATGGACAGCGGTAAAGAGCATACGTAAAAAAGTTTACTGCATTTAATATAATTAATGATTGTGGCGAGAGGAAAATGAAAAAAGAAAACCGGAAACAAATATTCTGAAGGGTGGCCAGAAAAAAAGTTCGTCCAAATGGAAACCGATAAAACAGCTATGAAAATAGTACAAACACCAGAGTTCGCAGAAACATTTTGCATCTCTCTGGATTTATTCTGATTTAATAACAATAAAATGTGACAGCGACAAAGTCACAATATATCTTCCAGATACCCCCAATATCAAGTTTAGCACAATCTAACTCGCGGAGTGAAATTGACAATCAGGTGTTGACACTGATTGGGGAAATATCTTTTGTGCCTTCCATGATGGTTTCTTTCAAATCTTCGATGCCTTCAAAGGTTTTCCCCACGCATTTTGTCCTTTGAGCAAACCAAATATTGAAAGTCAAGGGGACTCAGGTCAGGATCGTTTGCGTCCAGTTGTGCTCAGTCCGACTGACTGTTCTGTCTCATAAATGGTTGCTGATCCGTCGCACAACAGCTCTGGCATTATGACCGGCAGCCCCATCTTGCTGGAAGTTCTGGTTTTGTCTCCCTTCATCATCACCAAATAGTTCCAAGTTTATCTAAAAATTTGGTAGGATAACGAGGTATCCGTCAGAGTTCACGGAATCACGGACCACCCTAACCTTTTCAAGAGTGCGTTCTTTTTACAGGCTGCCTACTGTAAGTTACTCGGGTTGTGAATTCGAGTTCTGTTCTTCTAAGGACCCAAACTTCTTATAATTTGCGCCTGTTTCAAAATTGACCGTTTCCTTGAAACATTATGCTTGTTACAGATATCTATCCCGTATGACCGAGGAAGTAATGAACATGCACATTTGGGAGATTTCATATTATCTTCACTGCAAAGGCATGATGTACCGGGGTTAACTGTTTTATCATCTTTCCGTTGTGCAACAGAAATGAAACTTTAAAATAAAAAAATAAAAAACCCAATCGGATGAATGTTCCCGCTTTCGGTAAATTTTAATATCAAGTGGATCATAAACAAAACAATTATTAGCATTTGTTTTAACGAACTTTTTTTCTGGTCATCAGGTATTTGGTGTGGCAAACAAAAGACACAAGCTCGATTCCAATGTTGGGAGAAGTTTTAGCAAGTATCTCGATACTAAAACGATGTATCCCTCCCACCAAAGTTTTTGCCTTAACAAACGATCTACATGGTGTCAATGGGAGCGTTAAAACACCTGCACTTGAAAAAAAGAAAGGAAAGAATTAATACTCTCTCTCTCTCTCTCTCTCTCTCTCTCTCTCTCTCTCTCTCTCTCTCTCTCTCATTCAATGCCGCCGTCAAACGATCGCCTTACCAAGCGCTGCTGGGTACTGAACCAAGGGTGGGCCTCAACATGTATACCAACGGAAATGCTGGGCCAGTTTGAGTCAGGGGATGTTTTACGAGCCTTTGCCTAGCAAACAGCTCTAGCAGCTCGTTCTCATGTCGACGAAATCACTTACGTTGCTGCTCATCTTGTCGACGAAATCACCGACGTTGTCCAAGTCACATCATTTGCTGCTGCTAACGGGCAAGCCACAAACCTGAATTATCCTCATGTCGACCAAGTTGATGGCATTCGCACTGTTGAAAACGTGGCACTTCTTGATGCCATACAGACTCAAATATACTTTCATGGAGAGCAGATTAGGACATTCCAGATGGAACAAGCAGAACGGATGGTAAAAAGAAGTAGAATAGAACTCGCCTCAGGCCAGAAAGGTGACAATATTGTCATTCCCATTCCTCTTCTTGATCGGGGTCGTGGCGAAACACGAAACATTCTGACTGTCGTTTCGGACAAAAATGACAACAATAACTACATGCTGGCTACCAAACATGGAATCTTAAGAGAGGCAAACAGCAGGAACGAATTTGAACTTTGCCCTGAAAAATTACTTCTGATGAGGGATGTTAACTGCACCATACAAGTCAGTTTAAGAGAAGCGGTTGTACTTGGCTCTCAGTGTGGCGGTCAAGGTTACATTAAATGTAACTGTTCAGGGTCAAAGAAATGTCAAACAAACAGATGCAAATGTTTCAAAGCAAAGCTCAAATGTAATAGTCGTTGCCACCAAAGTCTCAACTGCAATAACAAATGAGCTCATGTAAATGAACATTCTATATTTAATTATCACTTTTTATTATTAAATTTGTTTTCATTAAACGGGATGAATAAATTACCGCATGCATCCCCTGTCATTTACTTTACATCTGTCATTCCGCCATTTTGTTTTTTTTCCGATGGTAGTCATTCCTAGGAAATGTCTGACGGCCTATTTCAGTCATTCTCTGAAAATGACTCATATTTTTAGGTATTCCTGGAAATGTCTGATCAAAACAGGAATTATTTGGGAATGACTGATTTTTCAGACATTTCCTGAGAATGACTAGTTTCCGGGTTTGACTGTAACATATATA